AGAGGTATTTAGAGCGTCACATATTGCAATTACTTCGTGGATGGTGGATCGTTTAGCCATGCGTTCATCTCCTCGGCGTGAGAGTAGCTGTGCGCAGTGGTCTGCAAACGTAAGAAGGCCTTTGAGCAATATCGGTATGATTAGGGTCACCAACAGTGACTCATTTACCACAATAACAGAAACATAAGAAAATGATTATTTAAAACTTTGTTATCACGGTTTTGTCAAAGAAACTAGCGATGGGGTTACTTGTGAGAGGAGAAACTCTGCACCAGGAATGTCATCATAATCTGCGCATCTATATCGACCAATAAAGTCCCATCTTGAGTGACTGATCCCGGTCAGAAATACTCAGGTGACCGTCGTAAAAAGTATAAGAAAGGTTCTTATTAGAGAATGGAAGACATGCTAATGCAGGTGGGACCAAAAATATTGTGGCCACGGTTTCCTAAAAAAATGGGTCACTCGCTACTACCGTGCTATAGCTTTTTTTCGTTGCGCCTCAGTATTTCTTTACTTTTTTTCATATACCAGCCTATCTTTCTTGATTTTGTGTGTTGATTTTCCCGAAAACAATAAAAATGAATACCCTTACGAAAGCTAGCGCCAATTAGAAGTAATTTGTATTCATTCATTCATTTGTTTTCTCTAACAAACATTCGCGTAAACGCATCCTAACAGTCACAGAAAGCACGATCCAGAAGGTGTATCATCCTACGTAATTGCTTCGCAGTGAAAACAGACTACAGTTGTGCATTTTCAATGATTGCCTGAAGTGCGTGAGAGGTGATGAAGTAGGAGCTGAATATTTTTATTTCTTTTATTTAGATATTTAGTAATACTGCTGACCAGCATTTTGGTCAGGCAGGAGGGGCATAAGAAACATCAAGTCATTCGTAACAGCAAAAAAAAAGCAACAAGAATCCATACGGTAACAGAGGTCACATCTCTATGAAACAGCAACAAAATTTATAACTTATTTGAACATTCTAATTACCAAGTAGATAACGTTCCAGCAACATTAAAAATTGTCACCTGAAAAACCTCATGAGGCAGTGGATTGCATTCATCAACTGTGCTGGCAAAATAACTGTGTTTGTAAGCATTAGTTCGTAAAAACCTGAGTGCCAAGAATCGATCACGTTTACGGAAGGTATTCCTAGCAGTGGCTGGCTGAACGCAAGAAGGTACATTTAGGGCAACTTTCCCTGACACAATTTTGTATAAAAACGTTACACGATTCAAATTTCTTTTTGTTTCTAAAATTCAGCATATTGATGACAACTCTCCTTTGAAGGAACGCACGGGCAGGCGAGAAAAAAAAATCACAGCATATCCACGAGGTTAACGTTAACGAGTGGGGCGAGGCGTGCGGACAGACGTACGCACAGACCTACGGATGGGCCCTTGAACGAACGGATGGATTCACACACGGACGCACAGAAGCACGGACGAAGTGATGGACGCTTCGTCCCACTCCTCACCATTCACTGCGTGGATATGCTATGGCACCGTTTTTATCGACATCTAATGCTTTGCAACTGGCTATTATGACAATAACGACGACAGAGGACATGCAACCCATGGCGGATGAAGTTCCGCGCCTAAAAAAAAAACACGTATGTTGAAGAGCAGCCCGAAACAATATTTCAAATGCAGCATTCGGTGATGCTTTGATACGAGCAATAAGAAAGGCGCCTTACCTCGCAAAGTACAGTGTTCATGTCAGAAAGATATTTTTTTTTCGGCCGATGTTGTGCAGCCACTGCTGCTTGAGCAAGCCATCGCATTTACCTTGGATTATTGTAAAAACCATGTAATCATTTTCACTGTGGCTGTTGCAGTAATAGGCGCAACAGCATGGCTTAGCGCCCACACAAAGCGCAGATAACAACGCGTGCGCTACGTTTGTTAGGCAGAGCGTCGGCGAAAAATGGCGGAAAATGTCTAAAGGGTGAATTCAAGTTCTTCGTGCGTGGAACGCATCACTGCTTTGAGATAAAGAAAAAGCGGCCCCTAGTAATTATAGTGGCGCAGTGAAATTCGACGGCGTAACCGAAACTGAAGCACCGATGAGCGCCGCAAGCAGACGACCGGAATGACGTCACTGTTCAAGGCAACGGTCACAGGGAAAGAAACTTTTTCACGTGCGCGCTATAACTGAAACTGTCATGCACCATGAACGCTATAATCCCACCATGCACTGTAATTGCGCATGCTATAATTGCATGTTACATGCAAGCACAGCCCGTAGGACGACACAGCAAAGTCGATTGATAATGTATATAATGGTGTCCACTCATTCTCGATCTCCCAAAAAAAGATTGGCAGATCCCACGTACAGTGGAAATCGATGATATGCGAAGCACGTATGAGGAAGGTTGATTGTCACTTTAAAGTCAGCCCAACGTTACGAGGTGGAGGAAAATTAGGTCGTACATGACCTTCATGCCAAGATTATCATGTTTCGAAGTGTTATTTACCCCCGTCATCTAATCACGTCACCTGATACCAAATTTCGTATATCTGGAGCTAGCGAAAAGGCCACGAGTGTGCTATGAGCGTAGTATGTAGTGAAGTTTTACAGGACACGCATGCCATGATTGCCATGTTTCGACGTGTCATTTATCTTCATCGTCCGTTCGCGTCATGCAATATCAAATTTGGTATATGGAGACCTAGCAAAACGGCGGCGAGTGCATCATGAGCGAAACGGTGGTGAGCGCATCATGAAGGGCCCAGTACATTCCGACTTAACATTGATGCGCGCGCTGGGCCCAGCGGCACTACGCTAACACAATTAACGCAAGCACTGTATAGTCTGACGCCAGGCGCAACCGGTGCGACCCATAGAGTTTTCTAATATACACTAGAGGGAACTCTGGCGCTAGTGTCTAAGAGAGCTGCAACGCGCAGCGCTTCAGTAATAATGGGAATGACGGGTAGAACACATCTTTGTCTAATTTTCGTACTTTTGGCCCGCTGCTTACTCCGTGTGTGTTCGTGTGGCTTGGAGCTGTTTTTTCGCGAAAAAAAATTAGCAAATCTTCAGCGTTTGCGCTTCACAACCTTACTCTTTTAAGCTTACCATTTCAAATCGGGTCACAAAGTTCAAAAGGGTTCGTTCTTTCCTTCAAAACAAAATCGTAACCAGCAGTAAACGAAGCCGCAAGTAGAATTCGCCGCCCGCAAGTACGAACACTAGGCTATTGTGAGTACTACCCATCATTCCCATGGTCGCTGAACGATCGCAGCGCCAAAGTCCCCTCTAGTTAATTTTAGGATACTCTATGGTGCGACCAGCGTCTGTCGGCGTGGCCCGGCGCCAACCGATTCGAAATACGACATGCTGCATTTCGCGCCGACGACGTTACTCAGAAAGCACCGCGTCTGCCTCTCTTCGTGACGGGGGACACCGGGCGCGCTCAAACGCTCATGCGTCAAAGCTAGGCAGTGCAGCGCGCGCCTGCAAGTATATGGGAGGCAGATCGGCGCCTGACGTGGCATCCCTGGAGTAACGGTAAGAAACGAACGCCCGCGCACACGCGCGCCGGGTCACGTCGAACTGTATCGGAGCCTTCACTGTGGCAAAAGTCATGTTCTCGAGTGAAACGCTTCTCATGATTATCATGTTCGCACCAGTCACATATCTTCGTCATTTATTCACTGGATGTCATACCGAATTTGGCATATATGAAGCTAACGAAACGGCCGCGAGCGCATCTTGAGTGTTACATGTAGTCATGTTGTTACATGACACGCACCTGATTATTCTCACGTTTGCACCAGTCACATACCTTCGCCATTCACTTACGTCCCGTAATACCAAATTTGGTATAGCTCAATCTAGCGAAACGGCCGCGAGCGCATCATGAGCGTGGCATGTAGTCATGTTGTTACATGACACACATCTCACGATTATCATGTTTGCACTAGTCAGGTACCTTCGTCATCCATTCACGCCCGTAATACCAAATTTGGTATATGCGAAGCTAGCGAAACGGCCGCGAGTGCATCATAAGTGTGGCATGTAGTCATGTTGTTACGTGACACGCATGCCATCATTTTCATGGCATGGTATTTTGCATGATTTCGCAATGTGGTCATGTCATACCATACAAGTTTTGCAACATGTCAAGTTAACCAAACCACCGCAAGAGCTGCAATACAATGAAATGTAAATCATGACAATTATGACATACATATCATGATTTTCATGTTCGGTCTAGTCACGCATGCTCGTCATGCAGTCATGTTATGCCATACCAGTTTTGATATCGATACCTTAATGGAAACGGCCTGGAGAGCTGAAGGTCGTACGTGGCAAGATAGATAGATAGATAGATAGATAGATAGATAGATAGATAGATAGATAGATAGATAGATAGATAGATAGATAGATAGATAGATAGATAGATAGATAGATAGATAGATAGATAGATAGATAGATAGATAGATAGATACGCTCAATGTCGCCGAAGTTCGCTAAGAAATGCTTCGCATTAAAAGCACAAGCAAAGTGGAAGACCCACGCGTTTCTAAGGGCAACCGCCAAAGAGACCAATAATTCTGCAGAAGTGTCGGAGACTGGGAGGACGCGAATGGTGCGAGGATGGAGAGAGCAGGTCGAGTGCATTGCGACGAGTACAGTGGATGGCGGTACTTTCCCAAGATCAAGGGACTTTATAGAGAACACTTGCCGGGGCGCGGTCACCGCCGCGGACAATGGTGAATGCCTGACATAGCCCGACTAAAAAATGTATTTGCATTTAAAGGTGGTCGTTACCAGAATTTGTAGTGCTTTTACGTTACAAAGCTGTTTTTTATAAACCTACCCACAACCGCAATCAGCAGTACGTTTATACATTCCTGTCTTGAAGAAAACACAGAATCACTTTCTTTATTTTGTATTTTGGGCTCATTCAGTAAAAATGCCTCTTTATTCAAAACAAACAGGCAGCATCACTCAGTACAACTTGCTCAAGTAAGAAGATACTCACTCGACTGGAGTCCTGCACTTGTATATCATAGATGGACCACGTTATTTGGGGCAGTGGTGTCCCTGTGGCGGCGCATCGAAGAGACACCGGCTCATCTCGACGTACAACGTTATCTTCGAAGTGTGAAACGAGAACCGGCGGTTCCGCTGTACAAACCAAAGGCGCGTTGAGAATAGTTATTCACGCTGTTTTCGTATCACAATCAATAAATACATGTCTAGCTATATAGCTAGCACCATCACTAATCGAGCGAGGCTGTTGACAACTAGGTCAAGTGGTCTTTGGGTACTTCGGTGAAAAAATGGGATGGTATACTTAGGCAAAGACGATGCACGATTACTAGACTGCTGCCCTATCTCACATGAAAAAATGTTCCTGTTCAGTCATTAGGAAGAGTTGCAAACCCATTAATGGCAGGCAGATAGGCGGAACAGTGCCCTACATTTAGCGTAAATGATGTGGCCGTTCATTTCTCATGGCCATGTGGAAGGAAAACTACACCCGTATAGATTATAAGTCGAGAAGCTGGCTGCATAGCGCGCATTAGATGTTTGCATTTTGTGCTTTCTAACTGCGCATATGCATTTTGAGGACATAAACATAAAAAATAAATAAATTTAAGTATAGCTCTGAATGTTCGCCAGCTATTGATATAGATATCTATACACGTAGATGAGGCACCGCACGTTTCACTAAATTCAGACAGAAACTAAGTACAGCTCACTCTTTTACGTTGTTTCTAGCATTACCGAAAAAGAAGTATTCTTGTCTTTCCCAGTAATGTGCATATTTAGTTAGCTATATCTTGAATACGGCATTGCACTTAATATTTTTGTCATGACCTGCACGCACACACACACACACACACCACGCACGCACACACACACACACACACACACTCACACACGCACGCATGCACACACACAGCACGCACGCACACACACACACACACACACACACAAACTTTAGGAGATAAATGGCGGGACAGCCACAATCCCAAGTCACGAAAGCTTATCTAAAGAAGCGAGAAGCTCTATTTCGTGCGATTCCTGTCAATTATTCGTTAAATTCTGCCCAACGGAGAGTCTTCGGCAATATTTCACGAAATTTACAGGCATGCAAATTCATCTTGACGTATTCAACATGAGAACTGCAAAGACAGAGCAAATTACAAACAGAACACTGGCAGGTTTCACGCTGGCCACATCAAGCTCAATTAGCAACTCGCACAGCAAACCATATTTAAAAGTTGAGTTAAAGCATAAACTATAGTGTATTCATGAAATTTCTTTTTTTTTCAGATAGCATTGATAGGCTATGCCTGCATCGCGAATGCACATTTAATTGGGCAATCTACGCTGTCCTAATAAACATAACAGAGCGTGACCGAGCCTGCAAGTAACGCATACGTTGAGGCATTTCGGCCGCTAAAATATTCATATAAAACGTGCAAGATGCTCATGTACACTTGACATGAACGTAGGCATGCGCCTGCGCGGAGTCCCTCTCGTTCGCAGCGTGGCACTGGTATACACCCGAGTCATCACTCTGCGCTGCCTGAATCCTCAGCGCGTACCGGTTCAGCATCAGCACGCGCCGCGACAGTGCCGAAGCGCCGCCACTGCCCGCCGACGTCGATGCGCCCGCAGTCGACGGTCCTAGTATAGGGTCTTCCGTCCTTGGACCACGTGACGGAACGTACAGGAAACCCGGACACGCTGCAATTCAGAGTGACCGAGTCGCCGGAGCGAACCTCCCGTGTTCTGGGCCACATTTGTACTTCCAACGGTTCTGTGAAAGGAGGAGCAGAAGGAAAGAACAAAAGAGAAAAACACAACACACACACATAATTAGCACATTTTATGACACATGAAGACGGCTGAATGAAATACAAGTGGATGCATTATCAGAGCTTGTAAAAAAATGACCGCACAAGCACTCCGTTCAAATAGTTAACCAACGCAAAGCTGAAACATGCGGCAACAGTGTTCACCATTGGTTTCAACCGACGCGGCACAGAAGCCTTTCACAATTATTGGTGACATTTTCGTGCTTCTTGATGAGGTTATACACACGTTTGGCTTGGTTTTACTACAGTCTTTACTCCACATGCCGCACATTGTGTCTGAAATGATGATATGTCATGAAAGGAGTGTAGAGAGCGGTTAAATGATTTTCGCGATGTGTTTATCACAGTGGTTGTTCTGGAACCATACCATATGTGGTCATAGACGTCACCACCGAAGCAAACGTGCCGCTGTAGCAAACTACCGTCGAAAGCGGGCGTTCACCGCGGCAAACGCGCTCCCGCAATCATCGCTATGACGCTGCAAGGCCGCGTTGTTTCAAGCGTTTGACCTCGTGAACTAACTTGGCGGTGTGGTTTGCAGGATACGCCCACCACCGGGGGTTTTTTCGTTCGAGATTAAGCGCGGCTTGGAAGACTGCTGGATCAACGGTACGCAGTTGTTACCGGCACTTGGCCTCCCGGGCCTGTTTTTGTGCCAGGATTGCACCATCGGCCCGGATAATCTCAGCTTTGTGTTTAGAAAAAGTGCTTAACGATTTCGAGTACTTCGTACTCAACTGTGGGAGAGCACTGAGCCGTCCCGCTAAAAGATAATCCTACTTCGGGCATCTGAAGAACGTATTGCCAGCGACTGGTTACGTTTCCACTTTCGGCCCTCTTCTAGAGTTGTCTGTAGCATACTCACATGGAAGGCTTCTAGACAAAGTCATGCGTGCGTGCTCAAGACATGGCTTCGATGAGATGAATGACGTCACTCATGACGCAGCCAATGGCACGCAGTGCTTGTGTATGACGCTGCGAACGATGTACTTGATAACACAGCCAATGGAGATGGCTCGTGACACCGCTACCAGACGGTTTTTCGTTTTTTTTCTAGCCATGTACAGCTTTCGCTGTAAAATACTAGGTGTATTGGCAATGTCCTTTTTGATTGCCTGGTGTATTAGCATCAGATTTACAACAGCAGATTATCCGTCAGTAGCCTTCCACTTGCACACTAAATGTTACTATAAAGCAAGCAGCATGTCACAAGATATTCGCAAAGGCACCGTACGAGGAACACGATTGAAAGGAAAGGCGGGGATGTTTACGCGTCTAGAAGGACCGGTATACTACCGTACACTGGTGAAATGCCTGGATTAGTTTTAAAGATGGAGAAAGAGAGACAGAGAGGAGAGGAAAAACGTACACACAAAGTCACACTTCACAATCATCATAACGCCATAAGTCTATAGCCGCCGAAGTGTTGTGGCTCGGGTGAGTTGGTTATCCACGGACTTAGCTTGTATAAGCGCCGCCTAAAAGATTCACACAACGATAGGCGACAAGCGTTGGTGTGTTCGGGTAGCAGAGTAGGTGTGATCCGTACATGCACACTATTTACCATAACTTTAAGAAAGTGGCCTAGCGGACTAACTGTGCGCGTAGTGTTTTCGGTCCCCCAAAACTACGGGAGCTTAGCAAGTTGACTTGTCCCAGTGTTAGTGTCCCTCGCTTAGTCTGTGATACGAGACACCAGGTCAGATGTGTAGATTGTGTGTGCTGCGTTGTCTACAAGTTTTATTATCGTGTGGCGAGTGCCATATAGGGCAGACAAAGTGATGGCTTAATGGTAGACTACGGGAACACGACTACAACGCAATATTAGACTTTAAGTGGCTAGCAGCACGCTGAAAGGGTTGTGGTAGCTCCCCTAATCAGTACAGCTGCACCGTTATTGGCCGGTTTTAGAATCAGCTGACACGTGAAAAGAAGCTAAAGCCATAGCAGATATGGGATACTTTTGTGTGAGTGGGCCATAGATTCTAATGACAGAAAAAAATTGACGTACCTTAGAATGAGACCACGTGCAAGATAAGCTGTGTATTTACGCAGGCATTAAATGGATGTGAAGGGCACGAAATAAACAGTTGGAAGTTTAGCGCCTACCTCTGTGGACGTTTGTGTCATCTTTTTCTTTTTCATAAATGCTGCGCTAATACAAGCTAAGTTCTTTAAATAATCACTGGTGCATGGTTAGCAGTGGTTACCTTTTTTTTAGCACGGATGGTGTATTTCGTTAAAAAGCAGAGTTCCTGTTCTCTTTATTGAGAAATTCGCTCCCTCTAGTTCGATTCGGTCATAGGCACCGTATGCAGCAGAGACAGAGTAGAACTCCTAATCTCTCTCGTACGCTCGAAAGCGTTTTCAATACGGCGCCTAGCACTTGATTTCAATTTCCGTGATATTTGTCAACAGAAAAGGCCATCACGATTGAAAACGACTTCACAGCAAAAACGAATGCATTGTGATGGAAACTCTCAGAGCACACGTGAGGTGTCTTGTGCACATCCTTCCTCATCACGAAAAGCTTTCTCGCAATGAATCGTGTGCAGCACGAAGCCACAAAAGATGCGTAGAGTTTATCAGACAGAAAGCTTAGTTGAAAAAAAGGTATCCACATCTGGGCGGCGACACATGACTAGCGCTTTCCAGGAGTGGTCCATCTACAAAATTCAAATAACAAGAATATTAGCAAAATGCATTGCGAGGGCGCGTTTGTCAAACACTCGAGTTCGATCCTAAATCCGGGTTCACTTTTGTACCGTGTTGGATCCCTGGTGTTGACGATGTTTATTTAACACGAAAGTGTTTTATGCAGGAGTCCACCTCGACTCCACTGACGTACTTCCGTCACAGAAGTGACTTTGAGAAACATATGTTAGCAGATTGCAAAGAAAAAGAAGGCAAAAGAGTGCCGCGCGGAATCGAACCAGCAACATCTCGATTCTCAGCGCGTGGCGCTAACCACTACGCCACAAAACGTACGTGTCAGGGAGTGCTCACGGCAAGCCATTTATATACACCATACACCGTTTGGAAGTCCTCAGACCTTCAAAACTTTAGCACGTTTTTATTATCACTGGCGAGATGGCTTGACGGTCTCGCGTTCAACGTTCTCTCATGGTCGCCGCCTCCGTGAAGCGCCACCCCACTGTCCCACGGAACGTGGTCTTCCTTGCGCGCGCGCTTATCAGACTTGTAATCAGTAGAAGACAAAAGTCACTTTGTAGGCTGCCACGGCCAGGTTTACGAAAGTAGCACACTGCTGACAGACGATAAAGAAAGAATTGTGACAGTTGTTAGTCCGCGTCCGTCCAGTGTGTGCTAATTTTGTGCGTGCTTTCTGCTTGAGGCGCGTGCTTCAAGTTTCCAGCTGCTTCTCGTTCCTAACCTGACTTAGCAATTTGTTGCTGTTGCTGAAACAATGCACAATAGACACTCAACTACCTTTGTAAAGGCATGTTTCTCTTTTGTGTTATACCAATTTTTATATAGGGGGATCAGCCATATTTTCAAATGAAATGATTTCCTACATAAAAAATTCGCACGGACTCCTTGTGGCTTTTTGACAGAAACAGGCGGTTGTCTCTGTCTGGGATTCTGACGAACTCATTCGTTATACTCTAGTTTTCATTTTGCGGAATTGTCGGGAGAGTGACGTGGTGCCCCCCTCTTCTTCAAAGTCAGCGCCAGCCAGAACAACTCCGCCCCCACCCCAAACGGTGCATGGCTCAAGCACAGATTCGACTGATGGCCAAATATAGAAAAAATCGCAACTTTTGTCCGGAACGCTCAAGCAGTTTTTTTCTGTCCTTGCTGTACAAGCATACGACAAGCACAGCCACTTGCGATTATCCATCCATGGTATAGATCAACATATCTCCGACTTTGTTGGCCGCTGTCTGGACTCACCTGTTTTTAAACAAAGGTGCTTTGTCCACAGCGGCTTGGTTTATCTTTCACCAAATATTTTGCCTTCTTAATCGGCAGGTATGTAACAGCTGCTTGCAATCGCTGTGGCAGCGTTGAAACTCTCGAACGCGTTCTATGTTGCAGCTCCCACCACAGGGCGCATGGACTGCCGCTAGCGACTCTGTTAGACCGGCTTGGGGACAGACCCCTGGAGGAGACAGTGTTAGAATACAGTTCAAAATTGTCTTCACACGCAAATTTATTAGAGCCTTAGACAATTGCTCTGTCACAGCGGCCTATTTGACACTATATAGTATTACCGCTCCTCATCTTTCGTTCGGGTTCAGGCTTTTTTTTCCTCGCTGTGGTTTTTCTCTGCGCTGTACTTTGCACCTATCTTTCCACCACTTCCGCTAGCGCATGAAAGCAGACCAGTTGTGTTAATAATGATCAACCCTCGCTGCCTTTCCTACGGGGTATCTATTTCTACCTATACAGTTTTCGCTTGAGAAACTTGTTTATGTCAGGTTGTTTCATTATGTCGACACGTATAACATATTCAGAGATATCAAAAACAGAGTCTTGCAGGCTGTAGAGATAATTATTTGATTCTTCCTTTTTTCACGGGAAAACGAAGTAGTAATCGCTGCATTCTCATCATTCTTATTCACTCTCAGATCAGTTGACATAGCGTAACAAGCTTCTCCGGTCTGTATTTTTTTCTAATACTCCTATTCCTCCTCACTGGCCTTGGTTCTAGCCGGCATGTGATATTTCTTCCCGTTAAGGTTGAAGTCAATTCTGTGTCCTAGCCATTAATTTTCAACGCGACGGAATTAATTAAAGTGGTCATTGTTTCTTTGCCCAGCCGCACAGCCGTTCCCGTCAGGGCCACATTAATTTTCTGTAGAAGACGATCGATGTAGGTTGAATTTATAAAGGAGCACGGCTTTTCGGTGCCTGTTTTACTAAAAGTGACACAGTTTCAGTCATTTTTACTAGGTCAAATGCTTTCACCAGGAATCCA